AAACGAAAGATAGCCGACGATCATGAGAGCAGGACAAATACGAGTAAGCTTAAACTCGATGAACCCATATTCCATGAAAAACCTGCAATGATCGAGGAACGTGAGCGCATTATCTCCATGAGGGTTCTAACAAATGATGACACCACCGAGAACCTTGTGCTGCTGACGGGGCTCAAAAATTTGATTAAAATTCAGCTTCCTAACATGCCACCAGAATATATTACTCGGCTTGTCTACGACAAGTAAGTTTCTACAAAAGAAATGCGAAACGAAATAATACATTGTATGGAGAGTGATATCTAGAAACCATCTATCTTATTATTCAGGCGTCACTATTCATTGGCAATTGTTAAAAGTGATCGTGTGGTTGGCGGCATTACTTACCGCTTGTTCCCGGAGAATAAGCTTGCAGAAATTGTGTTCTGTGTTGTTAGTTCCACTGAGCAGGCAAAGGTGATTTAGGAGGTTTTTCACTTGATCGTACAAGTTTTTATTAAAAAAAAGGGAGGTTTGATTTAATGTTCTATTTTGAAATCAGGGATATGGTTCACATCTGATGAACCATTTAAAAGATCTTCTTAAAGGCAAGGAAGGCATTAAATATTTGATGACTTATGCCGATAACCATGCCATGGGATTTTTTAAGAAAAACGTGAGTTTAAAAAAATTTTTTTTTTTTTCGGATAATTGGTTTTCAAGCACCACTGATCATTTGCATATGCTTAGGGTTTCACGACGGATATTACTCTCGAAAAAAATCTGTGGGTGGGCTTCATAAAAGATTATGATGAAGCTACGATTATGCAGGTATGCATATTTAAAATTCACATAACACTTGATTGAAATTAATTTGTTAGTAATTTTTATAAACATTGTCATCACAGTGTACTATGATCGAAAGGGTCGAGTATAAAAAATTACACGAAATTCTTGCTAAACAGAGAATGGTGCACCTCCATCTGATTTGCTAGTGAGCTTCAATACTCGTTTCTTTCCGTAAATTGGTCTTAATTTGCAATGCTCATTAATTTAGGCGATAAAGGTCAAAATTGCCGAGCG